TCACGAATTAAAAATTTTTTAGGTGCAATTTTTTCTCACTTTTCTAATGTAGGTACATATGATTTTTTTTTTAAATTCTATTCTTGTTCTTCTTTCTGTATTCACTTGCTATTCTTAACACTTTTTACTTAATTCTTAACATAAATTTAATCCTTTTGTTCAAAAATTTAAATAATTTTTGGTTTGATTTGTTTTTTTGACACTATTAAAAGCACACTATAATCAATATTAATTTTTTTATTTTATTTATTAAAATTTCTTAAATATTTTAATTTGTAAATATTAGAAATAGATTTCTTTGTTAATTGAAATGATCACCGAAACCGACGAGTTCAATTTAAATTTTTACGATCTCTTTAAGAACGTATACACACAAAATATTCTAGAACCGTTTTCTTTTTTTTTTTGTAATTAGTTTTTCGGTTTCGAACGTGACACAACAGAATTTCAAAGAAGAACTGAATCTTCTAAAGACATTCGATGTTCTATTTATACCCAAAAATTTTTGTAAGTATACAATCAGAATTATAAAAAAAAAACCCAATAGGGAAAAAATTTCTTTTACTTTTTTATATTTTTTTATTTTATTCTTTTTATATTGAATATTTTAATATGATCCCAATCGCACCAGAAATTCTTTGTTCTCGCATTTATTTTCCTCATATATCTTTTCATTTTGAAAACCATTAAAGCTCGCTTTTATACGTACTCGTACGTAATGTTGTTTTTTTCTCCTGTTGGATCGAAATGAAAGTTATCGTATCGCGCGACGTCGCAATCTTCTTCTTCTTCTTCTTCATTAACATTTTTTTTTGTGTTTTTTTTTTTGATTTTTTTTTCTGCTTGCTGTTTATTATTGTTTTTATTTTTTAATTTGTTGTTATCTTTATAGATGATTTTAATAAATTGTACCAAAACAATCTTATTCTTAAATGGTATTATACGAGAGTTTTAAATTTTTGTAACACTATTACTTGAATTTAACATAAGAAAATCACAACTAATAGGTACAATGGGTACATAGTACATAGCTAAATCCAAGATATTTTTGAATATTAATGCTTTAAAATTATAATAAAAATCGACAAAATTTTAAAACAACTCACCTTTATTGATAAGGAAGAGTTAAACAAATATTTTAAAGTCTAATAATTTTCAAAAAAAATTTAAAACAAAAAATTAGCCCTAATTGTAGTGCTATTCAAATCAAAGAATATTAAAATCAAAATTTTTACCCTAAATATGATCGGCGAATAGGCGAGTCGAATGGACTAGGCGAATCGAATGATATTTTAAAATATGATCGAAGAATGCTTTCACTCCTACCTTCAGAAAACCTACGAAAAATAATAAGGTTAACACCAAACATATGTGCATTGCTTTTGCTTTTTTACAAAAAAAATTTAATTTTCCTATCCTTAGCAATTATGGGGTAGCGTCCATTAATTTATTTAAATGCTCGAAATGTTTTTGGTTCGTTTTATTCATACTTAAATTAATATTAAACAATCAATATTTTTTATAATAGTTTAGCTTTTTTAATTATATCACTATAAATGCTATAATATCCAAAAAACACATGTATTATTTTGATTTTTGGTTTCATTCGCCAAGCTTGTCACACAGAATCTTCATTCGACAGATTTTACAGCTCATTCGCCTAAAATTTAAGTGAATTCTATAATCATAATACCAGAAATTCATATTCGCCAAAAACTTCATTCGCTCCGCCGATCTCTCATGCAAATATTTACGATCGAACGCTCTTTAGTTCTTACTAAATTAAGAACATTATAATATTAATTATTAAATATTTTCTTAAATTTTATTGGAAAAAAAACTATTCGCCGGGGCATCACATCTCCTTGCTTATATTATCTTTTGTGGGAAATTATTAAAAATTGGCTTTGTTAGCTCTATGGGCTTTAAAAAGGAATTAAAAAACATTTTTACTTACGATCTTTACATCAAATCGAACTTAAACAAAATATTCAAATATCCTATAGAACTTATGAATTAAAATTTTATTTTATCTTTTTGAAAATTGTCATAATCACTGTTTTTGGTTTTTGCAATTTTTTGGTCGACATTACAAAAATTCTGTAGGTGATTTTCAGTTGTGTGTTTATTAAGGAAAAGAAATTTTTGTTACAATTTTCGTTTATTTTTCTTTTTCTTTTGATTTTTAAGGTGTGATTTTTGTTATATTTCGGTTTATGTTCGTAATTTACAATTTTTTATTTTTTTGGTAAATATAGTAAAAATTTAAAAAAAAAAAATAAATTTGTTTATATTTAATTAAAAAATAAAATTTTTAGTTTCCTTTTTTTGTAGGTCAACGAATGATTCTTAAGAAAATAACAAATAAAAGAATTTAAGGATTTATTCAGGTTTCAAAAAAAAAAGTGTTCTGAAAAAGATGATTAATTACTGATAATATTTGTGATCTAAAAAAATGAGACTATTGGTAAATTTGCAAACTACTTGCTATTTTGAATAGTCTTGGAAAAACAAAAATTACTTATTTCAGAATAATTTGAACGAGTTAAAGCTTCACGCATTTCCGGACTAACAAGAATAATTTTGAATCCTGCTAAATCCTGATTTGTCCCATATCATTGCTTTTTTGCTGTTACAGAAATTATGGTAAATAAAAGTGTCAAGAATAATTATCACTATTAACAATTTATCATTATTTAAGCTTGATATTAAATTTTTCTATAATCAATACGTAAATGTGGTCATCAATTTTATTTTATTTTCATTATATTTTATTAAATACTTACAGGATAATCCAAAGATTTAAGCGAGAAACTTGATACAAATATGAAACTTGAAGAATACACGCAAGCAGTGTACGTTCTTATAAATTAGAAAAAAAAACATGACGTAATGTTAGAACAGCTTCTAGTGCTGAAATGTTCATATTTCAATTAAGTACATTAATCACAATTATATCTTATACATTAAAACCCATTCTTGGCAGTTATCCTTAGCAAAGCAATTAGCAAAGCAGTTATCGTTATTGTAATGTAATACGAATTTTTAAATTATATATTTTGATTTGAATATTAATGTAATTTGCATAATGTGCAAATAATAACTTTAAATAATTGTTTTTGAAAACTATTTATTAACAATTTTCTTCAAGTTTTAAATCCATCAGCAATTCTCGTTCTGTCTGAATGATTTAAAACATTTTGAAAAAAAAAAATTACAAAAATATTTAAAAATTTCTTTACAGAAGTAATTTAGACTTTCTGACCTAATTTAATCCTCCCTGCCTTTTAAAATGACTTAAAACTAAATGTTACCGACCAACTTCCGTTTATATTTTAGAACCTGTAATGAATGCTCTCAGTTTGCTAAACTGTTTATTCCAAATATTTGCAAATTTTATACTTTTATACAGTTTCCTTTTAATTTTCAAAAATTTTATTAACAAATTTTCTTAATGGGTTTTATGATCAAAAGATAACTAACAAGTTTTTTTTTGCTTCATCACTTAATGCTGATTTTATTACACTCAAAAATTTCGAAAACATAAATTTAAGAATTTTTGTTACTTTTTAAAAATGATTGTTAATGACTTTTTCTCTTATGAATTCGAACTTCTGTCATCAAATTAAGTCACGAAAAAACAAAAAAAAAAATTCAATCTGCAGGACACCATCAATATTTTATATAGGGATAACAAAAACATGTTATTTAAAACAAGTAACCATCCTTTGCTTCTGAAATTATAAATAATGGCGCTTAATATTTTGGTTACTATCAAACTTGATTAGCTTAAAATGAAACAAACAAAAAAATTAAATAGGTCATTGACTTTCTGTACGGGTAATAAAGATTATAAGAATATTTAAAAATTATTTAAAAAAACAGAAAGATAAACTAAATTTTTCATTTTCAAATAAATTTGCAAAATAACTTTATATAAATATCAGCGAAATTTGATAATCCAAGTTTTTACAACATATTAGATTGCGTTTAATTATTTCAATTTTGTTTTGGAAAATTTATAATTAAAAATTTATAAAATTTAATATTTAAATTGTATAAATGCATGTGTGCAATAATTGAAGTTAATTAATTTTAATTACTTACTTATTATTATAATAATTTAAATAAAAATAATGAGCAATTTTATTTTAAATTTTTGAAAACAAAATATAACTTGGGGCCATTTTTAAATATAATGAAAGGTTATTGAACTTAGTTTATATTCTGTATTTAATTTCAAGTTCATGTTCTATCCCCGGGGGCACGGCATACCAAAATACATACTACAAGATAATAATAAAATATATTAACTGATAACAATAAACTAATTTCAATTCCATCACAAGAATAATATATAAAACCTGTTCTACTTTAGTAGTAATAAAATTTTAAACTAATTACATTTTATTGGTTATTAACCTTTTAACATTTTTTTTTTTTCAAGAATAACAATTTGTTTTCTTTTTTTATTTTTACTTTTTATGTGACATCTTCATCAATAAAGATTAGATTAAAGAAAGAAAGCTTAAGCAGTCATAACATCACTTTGTTATGATAGTTGGTAACTAAAATATGCATAATAAATCTTGTGAAATTTAAAGTAGTCCAAATAAAAGCTAAAAATAAGAATATTGATTTTAAAATTCTTTTTCGATTATTCTTTAAACTCCATAACAAATATCGTTTGTTAAAAAGAAAACCGTTGGTCCAAATCCATAAATTGAGTCAAAATATTTTAATAAATTAATATTTATGCATAAGTACCTGTTTTGGAAACCAAAAAAGAATTCTTAATGCATATAAATAAAAAAAATAAACTTTTTGCTTCGTTTGAATAAAATGGTTTTCAAAATAATTTTAAAAGCTAAACTTAGTTCAGTTATTTCAGTTTCAAATTAAAAAAATTTAAATAAGAAAACAAAACAGATTTTTTCTCTTAAAATTAATACACATTTCAACAATTTATTTAATAAAATAATTGCACTCTCTAATAATTATCAAATTAAAATTCTTTAATACTAACTTTACATGGAAATTTGTATTTCCACTTTTTTGTACCAAAATATTGTATATGAATACACACTTTTACTTTATTTTCTTTTCTTTAAATGCTGCTTTGAATGAGCAATTTTGTGACCAGCAGTTCGAAACATTTTTGGGCAATGCTCACACTTGAATGGTAATTCACCAGTATGTATCCTTAAATGCAATTGTAATGCTGATTGAGTTGCATAATATTTACCGCATACTGTACAATTAACTTTAATTCGATTTTCTTCATGAATTTTCATATGTGTGTTTAGTGTTCCTTTTAAAGTAAAAGATTTATCACATTTATCACAGCGATATGGTTTTTCTTTGTTATGTATTCTATTATGACGCTCTAAATCATTTGGTTTTTTAAAATTCTTTTTACATATGGTACAAGAATGAAGTAAATTATCATATGTATCCAATGCTGTATCATTGATTGATTTTACATAAACCTCCCTGGACAAACTTTGTACTTCTTTAATGTTCGGATTGTCTTCTGAGAATATAGGCTCAGATTCTAATAAAACATCTTTGATATGAGTTTTTAAATGCTTTTGGCAACTCATTTTTCTTCTGAAAGTTTTACAACAATAGGCGCAAAGAAAACTTTTTGTGTTACTATGAATAAGTAAATGATTTCTAAGGTTTGATGCGGTTTTAAATTTAGCTAAGCATATTTGACACTTAAATTGACGGATTGAATTATGAACTAATTGATGACATGTCAAAGAACTTTTTGTAAGGAAACGCCTAAATAAATAATCTAATTAAAATTTTATTAAAACATTAAATTTTCAAACGTTTACCTTTCGCAAATATTACACTTAAATTTTTTTATTCCAATATGTTTAGCTTCATGATATCTTAAATGTGCTAAGGATTTGAATTTTAGTACGCACTTAGTACAACTATATTTATATTCCACATTTTCTAAAAGAGGATTATCAGTTATCATTATGGGTGGAATTAATCGTTTTTCAATTTCTTCTTCGCGAATGTTGTTGAATTCGTGAAGTTTTTGATGACTTTCAAGATTCTGTTTTAGTTTAAAAGTTTTTGCACACAACATACACATATAAGATTTTGGTAAAATGTGAATTCTAAAATATAATATCGAAAGTCACAAAACTTTCTAGTTTTCAAATTTGTTAAAGTTGTTTTACCTATTATGCTTCTCAAGTTTTACTTGTGAAATAAATTTTTTGTCACAAAATCTACATTGAATTTTCCTTTCCATTTCAACATGGGTTTTCATGTGTCTATCCAAGATACACTTTAAAGTAAACGATTTATCACATTTTGTACAAGAGAAGGGTCGTATTTTTCTATGAATTCTAATATGTCTAAATTGTAAATTAAGTTTTTAAATAGGTTGCATAAAGTTGGACAAAAATTTAAAAAAAATTACCTAACCAGATCAAATTTTCTTTGAAATACCCTTCCACACTCTATACAGGGAAAATTAAGTAAAGTTTTTAAGTTCTCCTTTTCAATTACTTTTCTTTTTTCTTGACTTTCTTTTGGAACTTCACAATTTTCTCTTATATTTAAAACTTCTTCTTGTGAATCCGACAATAATTTTTCTGGAACTGTTTGCAATTCCATATAATCAAAACCAACATTTATAGGGTTCTGCTGCAACATTTTTAATTGTTCAATTAAATTTCCGATAGAATCATTGTTTGAATCAGTAGATTTGTTAAAATTTGTATGTATCTGTGATATATGCCGATTTAAGCTATTTAACTTACTAAATTCGCAGGAACAATTAGGACATGAATGTTTTTCAACACCTTTCTTTTTTGCTAAATGAGCACGTTGCATATGAATTTCAACATTATATTTCTGTGAAAATCTAAAATTATCTTTTAAATTTCTATTTTTTAAAATATATATAGTTACAATAAATATGTAAAGTGATAATAAATACTTACTTTAAATTACATTTTCGGCACTTAAAATTTTTTTCCTTGTTATGAATAGTTAGTTGATGTCTTTCAAGAGAAGATTTTTGAGTAAATCTCTGATCGCATATTTTACACTGAAAAGTTATGAACATGAAATATATAGAACTTATTAAAAAAAAATTATTTTTAATTAAACCTGATGTGGCTTGAGAGATAAATGAGATTGTAAGTGGCGATTTAGTACTGACTTGTTCTGGAAGATTTTATTGCAATGTGTGCATTCCAATGAGTCCATTATTCTAGTAAATGATTAAACAAAACATGTAAATTGATTAAACAAAAATATTCAAAAATCTAATTTCCTTTTGAAAAAATTTCTATAATTTTTAATTTGTGTATTAAAAAAACATATAAACAATTCAAAAATTTGATAGCTAAAATGTCAAAAGTTTAAATGTCAAAAATAAATTATTATTTGTGCTGGTGCAGTTATAAACTACGTAAATTGGAACCATACGTAAAACGCATTTGATAATTAGACGTTATTGAATTTCAATTCCAAAACTATTGAAAACTACAATTTATATGTTTATTAAATATATAAGAAACTTCTTATGAAAATTCTTCTTCTGCTTCAAAACTTCCTTTGCTTATAAAAGAATGCAAATAAATGTGTCAAAAGTGTATATAGATGTTTTGTCATTTACATTGAAGTTCATTTGATTTACCAAAAAACATGACATAATAATATAAATGTAGTTTTCAATTGCAAATTCAATTTATTTCATTTTATTCTTTAAGCAAGTCTTTTAAGTCAAAGTGGCACTTGAAAATTTGACAGCTGCAAAAAAAAAAAATTTGCTTCTAAGTAGTTAAAAGTTTGAAAGAAATAAGAGTACAGCTTTATAGCAGCACTTTCAAATTGCTTTATTTTCTAATTTTGAAACGTCATGCGACTTGACAGTTGATTTAAGTGGTTGCTGTTGTTTTATTTATTTTTTTTAAATAAATAAAACAGCAGTTAAAGAACTGATTTGCATCTTGGTTATATTTTACTCGAAGTCATTGGAAAAAATGTTACAGTTTTCAAATTTTAAAGGGTGCATTTGCATCCTTATTAAATTTATAGCTTTTAATGTGAATAAAAGAATCACTCCTCAATATTCTACAGCTCCTAATAAACAATGCCTAATCATTTCAGTTGAAAACAGAACGGTAGAAGTGTCCCCTGTGCAATGTTCTGATTCGTATAGAGTTAATTGCAATTCTTCTTTTCTATATTTGTAAGAGTACATGTGAAATCGTTTAAGCTCTCAAATTCTTCAAGTGAAAAATATATCAATCACAATAAAAACGTGTTATTGTTTTCCTGTTTGAAAAAGAAAAATTTCACTCAAAACTTGCGATCAAAATTTTTTAGATGCAAATTTTGAAAAACAAAGCTCTTGTTACATGATATAAATCCATTATTTAAATGTGTAGTTGAAATGATTAACATGATCCAACGTTTGAGTATTATTATAACTTATTGCGCAAATCAACAATCATTCAATGCAGTAGATTTAAAAAAATATTAACACAAAAAGCTCTTGTGTGCCGTATTTCTAAACGTTAACGTGCATTGACATTTGTAAATATAAAATTGAGTTTGACATTTGACAGTTTTTGACACATGTTTCTTGACATTTTGAAATAAAAAAAAATTTGCAATTCTCTTAATGCATGTGTTAGTGCAGTGAGAACTTTCGGTCGTGTTGTTTTGATTGGTATTTGAACGGAAAAGTTAGTGTTTTTTTTTATATAATTATTTTATATTTTAAAATAAATCCGAATATTTAAAATATTGTTTTCAAAATCTCAAAATAATATAAAAAAAATATTTTGATTAAAAACTAAAAAATATTTAGTCTATAATATTAATGAAAAAAATTTGTTGTTTTTAGATATCGAATTTCTTTTTATTTATATTTGTGTTTCCACATAAATTCATAACACGATATAATACAAGGTATTATATTTACATAAACATTGTATAATTTTATATATATGTACATGCATATATATGTACATATAAGGCTATAGTGTTATTTGTTTATATTTAAATTTTTAAAATAATTTGACTCGTGACATCATTGGTAATTAAACGAAAAGTTGAATATAATTTAAAAAAAAGGAAAAAAAAAATAATTTTTTTTTTCAAAATGAATCAAAAATTGTTAAAGGTAACAATGTCAACTAGTCGAACTCTTGTATCATTCGCAAAATATCATACAAATAATTTGAAATTATTATTCAATAATAGTAATAATAATAGTAAGATGACAACAACCTTAGATTATTTTAATGCCAACAACAACAATAATAATAATAAAAATATTAGCATACCATCAATTACAAGCAAAATAGCTACAGCAGTGAAGGAAAAATCATTAACAACAATAACACCTTCAAGGCAATTCAGTAAAATAAATGTTGACAAAATTATGAACAATTTTAATAGGATTAATCAAAGGAATTTCTATACAGCAGCCACTGTTCCAACTTTATCAAAATTTAATGCAGCTGTAAGAGATCCACATCATACTGCTTCATTAGGTTTGTTAAAATATATATTAGTAATTTATGCTCAAAATTAATATATGTTTATCTTAGATTACGCGGTTTATAATGATTTATATGTAGGCCTTCTTTTCGTATTAAGTACTTATTAAAGAATTATTACCGGAATTTATGAATTTGAACTGATTATGCATCGATTAACTAATTATTAAGCAAGAAAGCAAGTTGCAATTGTTGCGAAAATTTTATATAAATTTTTCATGAAAAAAAATTTTATATAAGTTTTCGAATTTCACTTGTAGTTCTGCAAGAGGGTATTGCTACAGGAGTGTTAGGTTACATTTTAGCGCGAAAAATAGTTTATGTTAATAAATATATTACAAAATTTAAAAAATGGGCTGAAACCTTGTACAGACTATACTTTTAAAAAATATATTTCGGATAAAAATGTATTTATGCATATAGGTGATATAAATTTTATCTGACAAACTAGTTAGATAAGTATTAAGAAAAATGTATATGTATTTGTATGCAAAAAAAGATACACGTAGTTTCTCGAGATCCAGATATATCCAGAATTATTGATAAATATTGACAAAATTTAAATATGATCACATTTTATTTTATGTTAAGTAGGGACCTAATGTGTGTAAATTAATTAAGTAAGCAAGTAATAAAACAAGGAAATTCTAAGAAACTAAAAATAGGTATGTAGGTATGCGTGATTCTAGTAATTTATGCTAACACTTCAAATTCTGTAAATCAATAATTCATCAATTAAACTGTTTAATTGGCTATATAAGCATCTAACAACTGTTCTAATTATACACGCATGCAAGCATTTTTAAAAATTTTTAATGACGTTTTCTTTTTCTTATAAAAAAATTTTAATTAACTATTTGTAAAAAATTTTATCAAACGAGAGATTTAAAATGTTTTGAGAAACGCACCTAGCATTTTATTAATAGCAGTGTAACTCTTAATGTATAATTTATCTCTTAATTTATAATTTCAAATAGATTGAGTTCAAATGTACAATAAAAAAGGCGAAATATTGCGGAGTTTTATTCAATAAAAAAAGAAATTATTTTATTTAAATAAATTTAAAACTGCAATTTTTTGAATTTTTGCGGTTTAAATCTCGATTTCTTTTCATAAAATTGTTACTTAAAAATTAAAATATTGCTGCAACTGATTTAAGAAAACCGTGCATTATTTCAGTATTTCGCGATATTAAATTAAAATATATTTTGAGTTTGGGTTAAGTATATCGCAAAATATCACGGTATTGACTTTAACGAAAAACATATTCCTAAAAAAAAGTCCGAAAACTGAACTCAGAAAATTTTGAATAAAAGCGGTAGTATCATTACGTGATTCGGGGCAAAATATAGAGAAATATTTTGTGCTTTCATCTACATGTCTATTTATAAAATTAACGGTTTTTAGTTGTTAAGTTATTATTCTCAAGGTGCGTTATGGTAGGTAGTTATCTCCTTAATTACTTAACTGCTTGCAATATGTATAATGTATTACAATATTTTGCTAGTTAATAACTGTATTATAAGTATAAGTGTATATAGGTATGGGTATATACAAATTTATAAATAAATTTGAAGCATTCCTCAAAATTCCTTATTTGAAAATATCTTTTAAAATAAAGAGAGGAGAAAGTAATTAATGTGATTAAATAAAACTATTTCGAAAATTTTAGTCCATCCAAATTAAGCGCATAGAATCGTACGTAATACATTGATGTTATATTTAATTTTACATACCTACTTAATTATTAAACTATGTTTTTATTATATACTTTAGATACAATATCCTTATATATTCAGTTCCGGTGCCATGATATTTATTATTAATATTTTTATTTTATTACATTACATAAAGTAGTAGTACTTATATATACAATAATATACCTAGTTATAAATAGGTATATTGTATAAATAAATACCTAAATATATGTACTTATATACATATATGAATTTTACGAACCTATTTATATTGCTTCTCCTTAATTTAATTTTGAATATTTATTTTTTGAATGTAATGAATTTTTAATGTAAAAATTTATATTAATGACTGAGACTTAGAAATTTTCTAAAAATTTTTTTTTGTAAGTATGTGGGTGGAAATATTTAAAATTAAAATACATATTTTTAAGAATATAGTTATAGTTATATATTTATAGTTATTAATTACTTACTCTATTTTAAAAATATTCAATTTATATTGTAGAAATAACATAGATTTTGTAATAAATTATGAATAATGAAGATTGATTTGATATTTTATATTATTTACTAACAATATACTTACCTAGTAAACGTATGTATATTCAATGGTATTTAAGCTAGGTATGAATTGATTATATATATATATATATATGTATATATTTTGCTTATGAAGTGAATATTTTACAACATTGCAATATACTTTTGGATTTAGTATTGTTGGATATAATACGCAAATATACTTAAGTAATTGTATAGCTAGTTATGTAGGTAATATTGTGTTGTTTCTAAATCTTTTTACAAATAAGTAATCAAACCTTAAATTTTATTACTTTTCAGTTTTCACTAATGCTATACATTTTATATTAAATATATGATGTATGTATGTATATCTGTAAATGTTATTACTTCAGAAAATAATTTCAGTTTATTGGCTTGATATATTTACTTATTGTTAGCATTACTTCTCATTTTAGAAATTTTCTTACATTGAACTCATCAACAATAGTAATCAATCAACTAAGTACTAACTTAAACCTCTTTTTAGTTTTGTTCTAATATATGAATTTTAGTTGTAAGACGAGAAAAAAAATAGAGTTGACCTTGTCAAATCTGTGATACCCGTACGAATTTGTTATCCTATGTGCGAATAACTAATGTGCCATAACTAACTATGGGGCAGACTATGACTTTAAGTTGCCGTATTAACATATTAATTTTCGCAAAATTTTAGTATTATGTGTTTTTCAAAATAATGGTTGTGCCAAACTACTATTGAAGTTGTATGGCAGCTACCAGAAAGAGCCAAGAAATTTTAGCAAATTTTATCCAGCACATCGGCCCTACTAATATATTCGCTTGCGTGAAATTTCAATATCACAACTTTTATAGTTTCTGAGATATAGCCAAATAAATTTTGAAGTTGTATGGCAGCTACCCGAACCGGTACCAAAATCATGTCCAATTTAAATAGGGTTCTGGCACTTACTACAATAAATCATTTGTGAAAGTTTGGTGAACTTAGCTCAATTAGTTTTTGAGTTATCGTTGGGACGGACGGACGGACGGATAGACAAAGCTAAATCAACTCAGAATTTGCCTCTGATCAAAAACATACAGTTGAGTCTATATCTAAGACAGTTTTTTCTTAGCGTTACAAACGGTAAGACAAATTTAGTACACCCTTCGAACATACGTTCGATTGAAGAACACCATTGCGATTCTTAGTCGCTTAATATTTTGTTAGGATTATTTGTAAAGCTGTATAAAGTTAAGCCTAAATATTTGTAAATTATATAAATAAAGAAAAAATCTTTAAAAAAAATCTTAAAGAAAAAATTTGTTATTAAATTTTTTTTTCTACATCGTAACTCTATTGCAACTGCTTAGTAATAAGTATTATTAAGTAGATTAGAGATAAGAAACTGATTATATTTCAATTTAGTACCTATAGTTGATTAGATCAAAATACATTTAAATGAATATTTCTTAGATAAGTAGGTATCTTCTTATCTTATTATATACTTATTAATTGCCATATCTACTTAAGTGAGTATATCATTTTCAAACTTTTTAATGGTGTTTGTATTATTTGTTAGTTAATGTTTGTTTGTTTATTACTATTTATATGGTATGTTAGAACGAATATTATTGTTCTAATTAAAAAGATGATTAGTTTAAATACGAATTCATAATGTGGGTAATAATAATAAAAAGATAATAAGTATTAGCTTGAGACTCCTTAGTTTCGCTTATTTATATGTACTTGTATTCTATATTCTTACATATCATAGTACGTAGCATAATAATCTTGTAATAGGAATAGATAAGATATATGTACCGGAAATTATGAACATAAGTAATTACATATTATATATTTATGCTAATCCGGTGAGTACCATATTTTGGTACTAGCAACGTTCTTCCATACGTACGTTTTTGTGTAATAAAAAATTTTACTTCATAATATTTTTATATCCTCAAATCTATACTATGGAACAACAAAAGTTAATTAATTATGGAATATTCTTGTTATTTTTTTGAATATTCTTTACTTAAGTAATTATCGAATTCCTATTTTCATTGAAAACTTCTATTTTCAAAAAGAAATTATCAAAAAAATTCATAATATTCCTAGATTTTCAAGCAACAGGAAATTTTTTTTAACATTCTGATGCATTAAAATGTGAAAAGTTAATTCAATTTTGAAGTAAAACCATTAAATAAATTCTTAGATAAAATTCACATTTGTTCATCAATTTCGAAAATCAAATTAGGAAACCAAAACCATTTTCTGTAATTGAATTTCAGTTTGTACAACTGAACAGTTTTTTTGTGTCGTGTCTTTATTCAAATAAATTTTATGTTGCTTTTGTCATTTTTGTTTTCTTTCGCTCTCTTAATAAAGTCATAAGGTACGTATTAAGAATATGAATAGTTGAAAGGGCACTTAGTTAAGTATTTATGGAAACTCATGCATATTGGATTGGATTGCACTTTTATAATTATACCGTTAGTTTAAGAAATAAGATGATTTGTAATGGGATTAATAATTTAAGCGAAAATTTTTTAATTGCTCATTAAGTAATTGCTAAAATCATGAATCTGAAATGATAATATTAGCTTACCTTTGCTTCTAATTATGATTGCAATCTGATTCACAGGCCCATTTTAAATAAGTAGTATTTGTTTATTATGTAAGTGCTTTCCTATTTCACATTTCCAATAAAATTGGTTTTAATCCTGGTGTGTTCGTATATCCAATAATTTTTTATATTTTAAAAATTTCTATTTAATTTAATCAAAAAAATCATATTCTTATTCATTTTATTCATTTTATATATAAATTACAGGACCAACAACACCATTAAATGAAGATAGAGCATATGAATTAGTTTTAGCTCTAAATGATGCTGAACGTTTAGCTGTTAAAAAAGCACTTGATAAATATGATGCAATGAGAATTAAACAGGGTTTTGAAGGTATGTCAATAATTTTTATTTTTTTTTGCTTATACAATTTAAATATTTAATTACTTATAAAATTTATAAATATAGAGAAATTTTAATATTGATAAAAAACAAAAAATAATTTAATGAAATTTGTGTAAATGTGTGCATCATAATTTTAATTTTACTTTACTTATCCCAATTTCTATTGCATTTACTTAAGTATATGTGTAAAATTCCCATGTTTTTATTTCTATTTGTAAAACATTACATTTTTGTACGTATAAGTATGCATATATATTTAAATATTATTAAATTTTATTTAATAATTTATTAAATAATTTAATTGAGGTCTTAATTAAACCTCAAAATTAAAATAAGTGATTAATATTCCAGAACAATTTTTAAATAACAATTTTTTTTTTATTAATATTTTTTTAAAATTCAAAAGTTTATACCATTTATGTTAATAATAATTTATTTTATAATAATTCGTTAAATGTAAGAGCATATAAAGTGCCAATAATAAATTTGCAAGCGTAGTGCCCATAAAAGAAGTTAGCAAAAAATTGTAAGTTGGTAAGTTGCAGAATAGGATTTTTTACTACTGTGGGGAAAACTTGTTAAAAAAATTATTCTGTAGTATGAACTGCTGATAGAAGCTTCATATATACAAAATAAATCTAGAACTTTTTAAACTTAGACTTGTTATTAAAACAATTATTTTTGTTAGATTTATAAGATATTTGATTTTAAGAAGAAGAGCTGTTTTTCGAGCATTAAAGAGTTGAACATTAAAAATATCATTATGAATTTCAATTTTAATAATAATGTGTAAATCTTAAATTTGACTATAAGAGTAAGACTCAATTTATGTATGTATGTGCAAAATATTCAAGTTTTTTGAAAAACAAGAAAAGAAAAAACAAAAATCAATTTAATAAAACAGTTACTTATTAAAAACTATTCAAGTGAGAAATTCAATTTCCGAAAACTTTTAAGTTTTAAAATTCTCGCCTCATTAATTTTATTGAAATTCATTTTAAGTGTTATAAATACTTCCATTTTTTTTTTTTAAATCATTGAGTAAAATCCTCATATTACTTAAATTTTAAATTTCAAATCAATTGAATTTAATTTTCTGGAATTAAGTAGTTGTTCCCTGTTATACATACAATCTAATTCAATCTGTTGATTGAATTGGATACAAATTAATTTAATTTGGGAGTTACTAATTTTATATTCGTTATTAATTTTAATATTTTCAAATTAATCTTAATCTATAGAATTGAATGCAATTTCTTTTTATCACATTTTATTTGAAAATTTAGAAATAAAAGCAATAAAATATAGAACAGGAAAAATGAAGGGCAAAATTGTTATTTAAGTCACCTAAAAAGCATACTGTTAAAAATGTGATTCCTATAAGGACATTCAATTCAGCTACTATAACCTTCCATACCGTCGTATTGCATTTACTAATTTGAATTATTTCCAAATTATATGAAAATTTTGAATTTCATTGAATATTGTCGCAGCCTCACCAAGCACGATTTCATTTTCTTTACGAAAATCAACAGAACTTTACATAGAAACTTGTTATCAATGAAAATATTAAGCCATTATGCAAATTTTTTCTGATAAAAAACTTTGAAATTTTTGCTGTCATCTTTAATTTTTTTATGAATTTTTTAACAATTTTGACTAAACGACTACGATTTTTTCTTCGACTGCATAAGTTCTGTTTGAATAATTTTTTAATTGTTTTCTTTTTAGCACTTAATTTTGCTATTAAGTAGGTTTCTCCAAAACAAAAATTTGAAATTTTGTTTTACCTTCCCTAGATTTGATATTATATTTTTTGTTCCAAGAATAAGAAACAAAACTTCAACAGATCTTTGTTCTTTATAATGAAACTTTTTTTTATTTTATAACCTTGTTGTTTTTTTCTCTTGTTGGTGTTATTTAAATGAATTTCGAAATTTCCCAAAATATCCTAATTTTTTTCTTGTTATCGTACAACTTACAACATCATGTAGATTCCTTTTACTTACTATATAAAAAGAATATTAAAAGAAAAGTTTTTAAATTAGAATTCTTTGTCAAGTCCAAGTTATTGTGAAAAAAAAATTAGTAGGTAGGTAAAACAAGTAAAAGAAAAGAAAAAAGGAAATCAAAAATTAAAATAAGATCACACTTTTTTCTTTTTGTTGAAAAAACATGAAAAGGAAATCCCCTGAAACATTACCATCCTCCCTGTTCCAAGTAATTTCTTTGGAAAAACGAAATTAGAAAAAGTTTAAAGAAATTACAGGATGAAAACAAAAGGACATTGAATTTTTTCTTTTTGCATGTGTAGGTTTTTTTATATGCGGTGCTCTTAATTTATAAAAGCTTTTTAATTGACTCTTATAAATATTAAAAAAAAAAAACGAAAAGAAAGTTTTTACCACAATCGGAGAGAAAAAATTTCATTGTTAAATGGAATTGGTATATTTTTGAATAAATTATCGGAAGAACAACAAAATCTTATTCTTTTTGTTTTAAACATTAAGTATTTTAGAACTTTAGTACAAGAGTTACGAACAAGTATTTTCAATACAAGCATTTTAAGTTACTAAAGAGGAATTGGAGAATGCGCAAGTATAAGGGAATTCCAATACGACTTCGGTAAGACAAGAGGTGCCTTGATAATTATGATCAGAAATTGTTTATAATCATATAAGAAGCAGCTTTAATGTGAATTCTGAATTCGGATTATAGCTTTAAATATTTAAATTGCAATCTAGCGAACCCCATGCAAAAGAATGATATATCTTCGTAGAATTCATGAATGATTGAATTATCCATATTTGAAGATAAATTACAGGAATACCAAATTGCGACCTTCACTACTACTAACCTATCTACATTATTAAATCATTTTGTTTTCATTCTTTTCGTAAAAGACTCCGCTTGTTTATATTTAACTTAGAAAATCTGTAATATTGGATATTTTAGAATTAATTTTTTGCATATATTTTTAAAATTAAATAGAAAAAGTACTTTCTAGCAGTTTCACTTTAAATATTTGTCTGTCCACTCCCTTGACTGCGTCTCTGGGTTTTAAAGATAGCGACTTTTTTCTTTTAACATAAAAGAAAACTAATGAACAAATAAAAGATTTGATCCTTTAAATTGATCTTTATCTAAGGCTGCTAGTCAATATCTTATGAGATTATTACCTTCATTTCATCCTAAACATATGCAACTAATTTAAATTAGAAAAAGGAAAATGTGCTATTTTAAAAACCATGGCTCTGATCGACTACATATTGTAAATATTTTTGACTTTTGAATTCAATTTTTTTTATATTGCTAGAAAATTGTCTAATTTATTTTTATTGTAGAACTAATAAGCACATATTTTCACATCAAACACATATAAAGATCATTCATAAATGGATAAGGAACAAAAATATAAGTACCTATGCGTACAAATTTCAATTCCCCCCACAATAATGTAACAATGAATTACTTACACAAAAGCCAAAAAAAAAAATAAAGAAAAAATACAACAACTTTTCGTTTTTTTGTTGTTTTTCATTGTTAACACTTTATAAAATTAGAATATTACATCCTTTGTTATCATTTTTTATTACTTAAGATCCTAAAATTTATCCTGACAGAATCCTTAATGTTCTTCTCTTAACATTGTACTTTAAAAGAAAATGTTTTTTATATGATTTTATATATGTACTCATTTACATATGTAAGTTATTTAGCAAACAACAAAAAACAAGAACATTGCACTTTTTAACGTATGGTCTCAGTTCTCGTTGACCTGGCCAAATTTGGGATATATGAAGAAGAAATTTATTCTTCTTTTGTGTGTTTTCTATTATATTGGTATTGATATGTTCAAAATGATTTCTAATTTCATTCGAAAATGATTAAGTAGAAATTTAGGAGGAAATAAATGTGATCTTTATAGTTATCTTTTTACCGACCGCATTGTGCATGCAATAGGTCGGTTATGTGATGGCTACAAATTTTGCATATCGAGTTTTCGGTGGGAACACACTTCTCCTTGGTAGAATGGAATGTAAATAAACTATTTTTAGCAACCTGTCGGTCTGTCAGTATGTCGGTCTGTGTGTGTACGCGTGTTTCCAAGTTCGGCTGAACCGATTTTGATGAAATTTTATATGTAAGTTTATTGATCAACTTATGGGATAAATCAGGCCTCGGGAACTGCACTTCTTAGCGGGCCTGCTTCACATTTTTGATCATTATGAACAACAGATTTACTTGAAATTTCAAATATAAATTTCGCTCGACCGTCCGCGAACCCTCCTAACTTATGGAAGAAATCAGGCGTCAGCAACTGGACTTTTACCAGGGCTAAATACACATTTTAGCGTATATAAAGAGAAATAATCCACCGATTTAACTGAAATTTAACATTTAAATTCTTCGTATTAAAACAATGAACATGTAAATTTTTTGAAAAGATCAGGGCTCGAAAACTGATTTGCGGGCCGATTTTACATTTTTAACCATATCTGTGGAACTAATTGTAGGAATCTCTTGGAATTTGATATTTGAGTTCTGGTTGTTACCCAAACTACCTGGCAAGCATTTCTAAGAGCCAAATTCACATTTTTCTAGATATGTTAACTATAAGCTTACTAATGCCCTAAAAATCGGAAAGAAGTATTTAACAGGCATTTTTATAATATTCTGTAACAGTTTCATTTATCTAGACAATACACATTGCGGTCGGTTATGTGCTGATCACATCAGATTTTTAAAATTATTATGACTGCCAAATTAATATTATAGTTATACGAGTTCTATTAAAATGTAATTGCAATATTGTTTTCGGAATTAAATTTATTGAGATCATTGAATTCTTTTAAAAAATTTCTTTAAAACACAATTTACTCAATTTTTATAATAGCATTTATAAAATTCAATAGCTTGGTTGTTTTAGAATTTGGAGCACCATTTTTGAAATAGAATACCATCGGGAATATAAAAACTGTTAACTA